TCCCAAACTAAATTAGTCCCACTTGCCTGTGTTACCCTATTTAGACTTGCACCTTCCAAATAATAAGTGGCCTTTCTATTCCTGTTAAAACATACTCCCTCCCCTTTGCCTGTGTGGAATGTGATTTACAAGATTATTTTCTCATTCGTCAAATTTGTTAAATGTTCTCCAATAATATGATGCAGTCCCTCTCAGTATTGATTATCCCTCCACCATGCCCTTCTCCTTTCCCACCTTTTGGCGCCACCTTTCCCACTGACCAATCCCCATTACCCTATATTTGGTGCTATTTGCGAATTGATAAATTATTTACATACCTAAATTAGTTTGCAAAGTTTAACTCATTAATGTAATTTATAAACAGCAATGGTTCAGGTACTGATCCTTGTGAAACTTTCTGGCACTGAATAACTAGCCTTTGCTCTCACTCTCTGCTTCCTATCTTGAAGCCGGCTAGCAATCCATTCTGTCACTTGTTCCCTTATTCCATATTCTCTAACTTTATTCACTCGCCTACTATGGGCATCTAATGGAGGATCTTTTGAAATTCCAGATAAATTGCACCGACAGCATTACCTGTGTCTGCTCCATTTCCCGTTTTCTGTGCCGATGACGACCCAAAATCAAGATGTTTTTGTACTATTAAAATGAAACATGCGCCATTATCTCAAGCATATTACATTCTATTTATGAGAGAATGTTTATAAGAGAAATTGGAATCTTCTGACTTAACCATAGATTAAATGTCATAAATGTATGACTTCATTTACCTTAACTTCCCACAATGCTGTGCTGAGTTAAGTTTTCTTGAAAGCATTATAAACAATCGAAAGAAGTTGAGCTTTACTGTGCACTTCAAGGCAATTAGAAAGATGTAATTCAAATCAGATTAACCCATGACATAAACTGAATGCTTTAAATACTAAATGTGGCAGTACATTTCCTGGAAAACTCCACTTTGTACATTTCCAATATGAATGTTCAAATTGTGAGAAACAAACCGCAAAACGTGGGCATCGGCTGTCGTGCAATGTGGTTTGACAAACTGTTGTACTCTTGTAGTCAGTACAGCAAAATCCCGCTGTTCTTTCGGAAATAAAATCGGAGTTATCTATTGGTAACATTCTGGCGTTGAATCGGGTTCAAAGAAGAAACAGTAAGCTAGACTGAAGAAGAATCTTCAGTCAGATCACAACTGTATTCTTTTTTCTATAGCGAAGGTTCCGCAGAACACCCTCTCATCTATTCTTGTTACCAAAAGAATTCTGAATTACATCTCCAGATAAAATTTGGAAATGGAGACACATAGAATTGGGCTCACATCGTATACTCCTCGCTAAATAAATTGTAAGTAGGAACCATCAACAGAGGCCGCTGTTCGCGTTCAGTTTCTATTAAATGGGATTTCTCAAAGAGATACCTCACTTGCTATCGACCTACTGCAGTGTTACTAATTGTTGCTGGGCTGCTGAGAATTACAAAGTCGCGAAGTAGAACGTGCTGTGATTTGGAAGCGCCCTGTGCTGTCGTGTATAGTATCTATTGGCTTCGCGTTCTGCTAATTAATTCAGTTGTTTGTTGATGTTACTTTCTTGAGTTAATCATCGAGCAAGTGCAGGATGTATAATTGTTGCGAGTATGCATTACAATCAAAACAACTTTCCCTTGTGATTCCATATATATCTGCGCTAATAGTTATGAACTTCTGGGTAACGCTTTAAGGTACATCCATGTGTTCAGTATCAATGTGCGCTTACAGCTGAGTTGAGAGTTGATACTTTATTAACATGCTGGTAAAATCAAGTGCGACAGCTAGCAAGTACCAATGTTAAAATATGATGATGCATATACTTCTAAAAAATTGCAAACCACGTTTAACGTCATTTATTAAATCCGGATGATGGTATCTGGACTCGAATTTAGTTCTAGGGCAGACACGAAATTCCAATGTTTATAGTTAGGCACTTCAGTGTTTCAGCCTATATTACATCATTAACCTGATTCAATGACTTATATTGCTTGATTTATTTCGAAATTATTGTGTTTCTTCAGTTATCCACAATGGTATAATTTATTGTATATGTGCGTATATCTGTGCTGGTGGGAAGGTTAGAATTATGACATTCAGATGATCTCGGGGACGTTGTTAATTTGTTTATAAACATAGACATTTATATAAAATGATTTGCGAACTTGATCTCTCTTACATGAAATAATAGATTTCAAATAAACCACATTTGAATATGTGTTTTAAATGTAATTTGATAGCAGGGTTTGCCATTGTTAAAATGTGTTTATATTTTACATCGATGAAAAATCACATTTATACAAATAGAGTACAGACGTTGAGAGAGAAAGAAAACTGAAAATACAGTTATGACTGTTTACAAAGATATAATTGAAAATTTCCAGTCAATGCACTTATCTTGAACTTTTCAAACATCATGAATTCTTCTGTCCAGTACTCAGCCTGTTGTGATCAGAGAGGGGGGGAAAGCCTTTCATACAGTGCAGCAAAACATAGTTCAGCGATTAACAGCAGCTCACTGGATGTTTCATTTATCAGAAATCCTAAATTAGCGTAACACGCTGCTATATCGCTATTATGATTTTCACTATAATAACACTAATTACACTTAAAAAGGCAATTAAAGGGTTTCGCTTCTGTGCATCTGACCATTGTGTCGACCGCTTAATGCTGGATGAAACAGAGAATGCAATGCCATTCAGTTAAAACGATTAAAATGCTATATTCTATAAATTTCATACCACAACAACTACTAGAAAAAATGTTCAAGCCCTTTTCAAATTACTATACTTTATGTAGTACTAATTCTCAAGGTGGGACTATAGAAAGCCGAGATAAACTAAACTTTTTTTTCGAAATACGGATATGCCAAATAGATGTATAATTCTTGTGCGTGCGAATGTCTGTTCAAAATTAGGTTAATCTATTCTTTAAAAGTAGCAAAATGCGAACAAGCTTGTTTCCGACTTGTCCCACCCATCAATAAAACATCCTTGCCTTAGAGGGGCCGTTCATATTAAGTTTGGGACCATTTGATTGACAATATTATCTAGCCTAGTACGGCATCTCGAGTGTTATCAACTGGATTGTGTAAGGTCAGAAGCTATTGAACAATCTCGATGCAGCCCTTCATGAAGTACGCATAACCACAGAAAGGACTGCACCATTCTAAAAACGATTTTATGAGCCTGCACATTGCATATCATACCTTCTTGGTTAATACATAATAGCCGGGAAAAGAATAGGGTCAGTAGTAGGGTAAGATCGCGCAAGTTATTTGTGGAAGAATAAACAAATATTTCAGTAGTTGAAGCAGTAATGTGTGTTAATGTTGGCAAATAAAGAATCAATTTCACACCATGTGGATTATCAAGTAATTGAAAATATGCTGCATGTAATGCAATCTTTAACAGCATCACCACCCAATCGTTGCGTTAAAATCGGAGATTAAGTGCAGTATTACAATGAATTGCTGTTGTCAATTCGAAGGTTGATTCACAACAACCAAATATATCATCCAACAGCTAAAAAAAAGTGTAGTTTAGAGAGTTTTAAACTTATCGTATCAAACACAAAATTGTGTCCATTCTCTGACAGTCATCCCCCTACAGACAATGGTCCCTCATACGGTTGCGGTTATAAAGTGAACAAAGACTGCCTTAAAACTAATTAATTCATAAAATAGCACTTATTTGTTTGAAACTAGCTATATAAGAAATGTGATTGTGATAAATAGTATGATCATATTTGAAATAGCAAATTGTAAAGTATTTGAGGAGTTGCAAGTGACTGGCGAGAGGTGGGAATCATCATTAACATACGAACCAATAGAACACACCAAGAACAGAGGTATACCTCTTCGTGTATTATTGCAAACTGTTCAAAAATTTCTCGCAAATACCTTAATATTTCTCAGTACTACAATGGCGATTCACAAGCCACGGGTTAAACGAACGTACTATAAGTAACACTTGTAAAACTTAGTGTCAATCTGAATTCTGACCGGAATATCTCTTATCTAAGTGTCGATAACAGTTTCAAAGGATTATATAGACGCCAGTCAGAATGCTTCTGGTGATTTGCTACAAGTTATCTTGCGTCAAACGAAAATTTACAAATCGTGCATTTTGCATCTGTAGGTACATTTTAAATGTTACCACATATCAGAGGGATGGAAACGGTAAATAGATGCTGCGGCGCTGCAAGGGACATAGACTTGCGGCTTCAAGAATAAAACTCTAACATTCTATCTTGTAGAAATCTCGCCTCTCCATGAGATGTGAAATACAATCAGGGCAGAGGTTTACACTTGAACGATGTTAACTCATGCGGGAGCCTTCTTTCTCCTGAAAGACTTCTTGGCTGCTGAATAAGAGCCCTGAATTGAAGCAAAATGATTCCTGTGCATTAATATCGAGCAGTCACAAAGCGAGCAAGCATTTATGCTGCCACTCTGCCTAAAGATATTTAGTTATTCCAAGGTAGCAAGTGCACTTTTACATTGCTTAAGTGCAATGTAGCCATACTGAAAACACGATCTAAAAATGCAATTATCCTCAAGCTTTATCAATGACATCAAAAGTCGGCGTTAAACATAACCATTAAGAATGCAATGAAATCTCAGTCTGCATCCTTTATAGATAACGGAAGCCCTCAAATGCTACGTTATTTAATATTTCACTAAAAGTAAAATATGTTGGCAAGGTAAACTCAAAAGTATTTACCTTGCCATCAGCATGTTACCTAATTATCTTAGCAAGATGTTGAGCTCTATTGTTTGCTCGTTTGCGCTCATGCCCCGCCTCTCCTGTCTGTCTAAAACCTGGCGCCTGGCTACAACAAACAAAAGCTAGGCGCTCGCAGGTCTATAGCCTCGACTTAATACAATTAAGGCGGACTTCAATCATTCTCTTACGTGTACGTCCACAAGATCGGCGCTAACATAACACTGTTTATCCGTTCAACAAATTTGCCTACTTCGCTGCTGAACCATGTCGATGAGCCCCAAGCATACTACGCCCTTCTCAGTTTCAGATATTTTGAGCCCCATCGAGGAGAGCTACAAGAAAGTTGGCATGGACGCAGCGGGTAACCTCGGAGCTCACTTGACAAGTTACCGGCAGCCACAGGTCTCCCAGCCGGGCATGCAGCAACACCCGATCGGACATAATACGTCGGTGCCTGCGGCGACCTACCACATGTCACACGGGGTCCCCCAGCTTTCACATGCTGCTATGGGAGGCTACTGCAACGGCAATATTAGCAATATTGGCAACATGGGCGAGCTCCCTGCTTACCAAGATGCCATGAGGAACAGTGCAAGTGCGACAGGCTGGTACGGGACAAACCCCGATCCACGCTTTTCATCAAGTAAGTGGAATAATTGGTTTTTAATAAACAGACCAGTTAAAAGGCAACCTGCAAAAGATTGCAAACGTGCCCATTTTATGAAAATAGTGTCCAGAGATCAGTATTTCCAAATCATGAGTTTTGCGGGTTTTAATCTTACATTAATGAGGTTAAACGTAAATGTTTTAATACACGGAACAACAGTTACTTTGGTGCAGTTTTACTTCATATGCCTTTTGTAGCAATATTTTTGGTGTAAATACATGGGCAGTTGAAATAATCCTACTACTGTACAGTTTCTCGTAACACAAATTTTTAAATTAATTTTTATAATATTGTATTAATAAGGCAGGTTAAAGTCTTTAATGTCTAAACAACGCATCAGCATTGTGCGAAACATTATGGAGGAATATTTTCCCAGTGCCCACTTAAATAATGATGTTATCTTTATTGAGAAATGTTTAAAGAAATCCAGTGCACTTTCCCAAAGTTGTATAAATGTTACTTATTTTTTAAAAAATGGTAAATACACAAACTTAAGATATACATTTTTGCACAGTTACAACATTTCGGTAAAAATGTCTGCCAAACATAAAAAAAACTTTATCAATTGGGCAATTTTTATAATATCGAGTTTTTAAAACCGTCCGATATTCCTAAACCATTGCAAACATATAACGGCAACCTATTTCATTTAAAAGTTCTAAATGGAAGTTAAGCATTCAAAAATTACGATAAGAAAATTTAAAAATATTTATTTAATTGGTGGTTTTATGGAACAGCGCTACGCGTTTCGCCTATTTTGTCGAACAAGTTGTGCTGGAATGAAGATACCTATATATTGTTTTGGTAATATTAAATTTGCATAAATACTCCGTTTCAAACGCCTTTGTCTAAATTTATCCTGTTTAATTCCCACTCTAGTTTCCCGTTTCATGACCCCATCCTCAGGAATGAACATGGGGGGCATGGGCGCATTGGGTTCTCTTGGAGACGTTGGCAAACCCATGGCCCCACTTCAAAGTACACCAAGGAGAAAACGCAGAGTGCTTTTCTCGCAAGCCCAGGTTTATGAGCTAGAGAGGCGCTTCAAGCAGCAAAAATACCTCTCAGCCCCTGAAAGGGAACATTTAGCCAGCATGATCCATCTCACGCCCACTCAGGTGAAGATCTGGTTCCAGAACCACCGCTATAAGATGAAGCGGCAAGCTAAAGACAAGGCAGCTCAGCAGCACATGCAGCAGGACAACAGCACTTGCCAACAGCAGCAACAATCTCCGAGAAGAGTGGCTGTGCCCGTCCTGGTTAAAGATGGCAAACCATGTCAAGGGGGTGGCAATGCCCCAACCACGACCATGCAGACCCAACAACAGCAATCCACCAACACATCAATCACAGTGGCTACCAATGGCACTGCTCACGGCCCAAGCCAGCAAGCTAATAACACAGGCCAGACATCGGAATTAGGACAAACCTCAGGAAGTCCATCGTCTATCCAAAGCCACGTCACTAGCTTGTCTCACCTAAACTCTTCTAGCTCTGATTATGGTACAGCCATGTCATGCTCTACTTTACTGTATGGTAGGACCTGGTGAATGATTCACTTGGCTTGTGTTTTAACACCATGTTGTATTGATTCATATCTGCTGTATTTTGGTAAAGTGTTCCGGTTACTAATTTGCGTAGATGTGCATCAATATAGAAGGAGGCTCCGGCTGAAGTGATGGCAAAACGCTGTAAATTAATTTTGTTTTGTAGACTTGAAATGCACACATTGCTCGCTGGACTTATAATATCGCAGTGAAAGCGGTTGCTCCATATACAAAGATAGGCTGAACCTGATGCGGCACAGATCTGTCCATATATAAGATCTGGAAACATAACGTTTTTTTGTGGGGTTCCGAAAGAATGACGCTTTCGCAATATAATAGTGTTAACAAAAAATGACACCCAGTAATATTCTTTCCTCGGGAAGAAAAGAAATAGGTTTATTTAACACGACTTGGCATTTTCTTAGTTTTTACTATAAAACTTAGGTGTATATTTCTGTAAAATGCACATGCCTGGGCCGAATTTATAGTTTTTAGGAATTTGTATATTATGCTGTAAAAACTGTTTTCATGATGGACTCAGCGTGTACAGTATTTGATAGTTTGTTCGTTATTGCCGGCGTATGAAAGTCGTTTTTGTTGTAACTTAAAATAGATGACTGGTATAAATATAGTTCCGAGAGCTTCTAATAAATTATGAATCCCTAAACCGCAAAACCACAAATGTTTTATTGAAGATCATTGTATCTTTCCCTTACTTGTTAATATTACAATTTGCCTATACGTACCGCGCTATTAGAATTCATCGCACTGTATTTCTAGCGATTGTATAGTTTCAGTTACATAAGTTGGGCAAAGAGGTAATAGGTAATATGTTCTGGTCAGCCCAGCAGGTAATCTGCGAAATCTCCCCTGATTTTCCTGGGATTTCTGTTAAGGGACGGTAGGTAGCTTAAAGCTTAATTTCTGTATCTAGTTGAAAGCTGCTGAATCCGATGGTATATTTGATTTAACATTAACTAAAAGTATAAAGAAAGACTTGTGATATTGTCTTGCCATGTTCTATGTTGCACTTTACTTTTCGTATGCAGAGGCCTGCGTGCAACTTTACTAAGAAAAATATTTGACTCCGGTTTATATACTTTGTCGTGAGCATTACTACTGTTGTAAATTAATTATAGCCCCACATTCTAAGCACAGACGGAATAATCTGGTCTGTTACTAGCGCTGATGATAACCAATAGTTCAAAGTCCACAAATGTCAAACGTTAGAAAGTTCAATTTGTGGATTGACCGTAAACTACAGAATAGAACAGTGATGATTTAAACACTTTGAGCGCTTTACAGATATTTATTTTGAATTAATTCCACAGAGTGAATTAAAGTTAAAGTAGTTAATGAGGCCAAAGTGCATTTCAATTAGGACGATCAAGTATAATTTCTGCATGGAAGACACTGTTTGTTTTGGCATTAAGGAAATCTCAGTTGTTTGCTGTGGGTAAAAGGCAGCCATCTACGTGTCGTACGGCCAGCTCCTGTCGATTTAAAAACGAGCTCGCAAAAATCGAGACAATTTGCGTGCATTTCGATGAGAATGAAATCTGTTCAGATTACAAGATCCAGTGATCAGCGTCCCTGTCATTATTTTATTCAGATGTGGTGGCAGTGCTGGGATTTATTCTGAGCAAGAATTTGGGCAACTGATTTCGTCAGTCAGCCTTCTTATATCTGAACACACAATATTTTCATAATTTTCTGTATCGGGTTTGGAAATATAGCGATTAGTCTAAATGAGCGAGGCCACTGACAGACTACAGTAAGGAAGTGGCTAATGTAGCCCACCATTTGGAATTGGAAACTATGTTTGATGTTTCTGCCTGTGGCGGCCTGGAGTTTGTTCAGTGTTAAAAGGTCAGATCCACTTTCGCACAAAAGATAAACTCTCTGCTCATGACGTGGTTCGTTTCATGTTTGATTATTAACAAACACCAGGGATCGAATTTTATAGCAAACCAGGAGTTGTTTCAATGACAGACAGCAGTGCTGATCGATATTTACACAAAAAAACAATGCAAACGATCACCTTTGCATCAAAGGAAGACCCAACATTTACAGGGTTAGATTTGGCGAAGCACACTATGACTCATTTCTTGAACATATGCATTTTTTTTCGCGATGATTGTTTGGAATTAAAATGTCTGCTGTTAGTCTGATTGAAATAAGCGTAATCATCACGGCTAAGGTTATCGCCTTTCAAATTTGCACACCAGCAACCTCAAAACTTGTTAAGTGTCCTTTAAACTGACCCTTACATTGTTATATTTTTATCATGCTGAAAGAAAAGTGGAAACTCGTTTGAAATTATACACTACGAAATAATTCCAAGATCTGCTGTCACTGAGTTCTACGGAGGGCCAAACACAAATGGCAGAGCGGTATGTAGAACTGTGAGATCATTCAGGCCTAGGCCTTCTAGCAGATGATATTCACAAGCAGAAGAGATAAGGGGTGAACATTAAATACTCCACTCTCTTAGGAAACACTGCAAGAGAAGGTTGAGACAATATTTGCTTGATGAATATTTTTGTGTGTACTCCGTGGGTATATAGTTAGTTAAAATGTTATCAATATTTCGTCCTATTTGGCACTAACCATTGCACGCCGATCCATACATAAAGATGCAGCTGATCTGAGAGCTGTTTAAATTAAGGTCACGGCTTGTTTAAAGATTTTCAGTTGTCTGGGTGCTGTGGAATGATTTCGGGAAATTGAGGCTATCAGGTAGGTCAAAGCGTCAGTGTTTGTTAACAAGGTGTGCCAAACACTTTTAGTTAATGCATGTCGAGTTCCTGGGAAGGATCGGGCTACAGCGCTTCAAATTTGCACTTATTTATAACAAATGAAAGAACTAGCATTAGAAGTTTTAATTTGTTGTTGTTTTGTTAAGATCAGGCAGTTAATTTGTGTGGTGATACGTGAGCCCCCTTTCTACGCAAAGACTAATGAAAAATACTAAAGGTAAGTTGTCAGATGGTGATAAGCGATCATTAATATTGTGTAGTTTAGTGCTGTATAATTTAGATTTGGAGCTAAATCTGTATGTTTCCAGAATTATTTGTCGTCGCTTCAGTCCGAAAATAGACACTTGAGAATGCTTTGGAGGTGGCCGAATGGATTTCTTTAGTGAAAGAGTGGTACTACTGAAGGTAGGAATGGTATTGACACGCTTTCAAGTATGAATTTATATTCTGATGAGTACTTGTACTTCCAAACGTTCTACAAAACGCTCTGAATTATACTTTAACTTAAGTCAGCTAATGGCGTTCTTAGAAAGGCAGTACATTTGCTGCGGTGCGCTGCTGTACTCCAGGAACACATCTATTTGTTGACGTGATGAAAATACTTACCAATGCAACTGCTGTTTTAAAATTATATGATCTATCACTGACAATTACCTGTGTAGAAGATTTGAAGTAAAACAATACAGGGTACAATAGTACAGAGAACTTTTAAAAAGGAGATCCGATGATTTTGAAAACAAGTGCGAAAAAATGCAGTTTGAATACTTTGTTGTACAAATAGAACATTGAAATAGAGGGACAAAACTGCAGTATAACGGTGTTCAGTCGAAGCATTATTCATTTGCAGAACCAAATGATGAGCTGAAGATACACTTTTTAAAATTCATTCTCCGGCGGTATCCATTTTCTCGCAAATATAGATTTGAACAATACAATGCTTTCAAATTCATTTTTGTAATTCGGGTGCTTTCTTTGCGATCATAATTTTTTCTTGCAGTTTATTTTATTTCCAAAGGAATGCTCTGAAGTGATGTAGCGCTTTTCGTTTGTTACTGAGCGAATTACCGTGGATTCAGAAAGAAAATTATTATCCGTCATCATGGTCAACCGACATTCTCCCAGATTGTGAAACATGGGTATTATTTTCTTTTCCCTTATTTGAAATACATAAGATATCCAATTACTCTTGTGTTTTAATCTTATATATGTACATATGTTTATATATTCGATTTATTGCGGAAATGCATATCCGAACTTCCTTAAATTGTAAATTTAAATTGTTTCCGTAACAAAAACACGACAGAGAATATTTTTACTTGAAATCATGAAAATTCTTAGTTTACAATAATTATCGAAATAATATATCAGTCTGGCAAAGAATAATTGGATTTTAAGATGTTCAAAACAAAAATTGTACTCCCAGCAGTATAATCAATATCGATTGAATAACATTTCAAATGGAATTTCGAAAATCAGATAGGTAGGCCATTAGTTTCTCGCCAGGCATGTCAGGCAGAGCCGTGTTTGCTACAGGTAATGCCGTACATTACACACATTTATGTTGATGGAGCTTATCTAGCAAATTCAAACATGCTATGGTTTTTACTTTAATCTAATCCCATTAATTATATCATTCGAACTATACTGAGATTGGTTTTAAAAAAACTGCGTAGATATTGTGTACTCCAAAGGTATATATATAATGTTTCATTCGGAGGAGTGTAATTCTGTATAATCGCTTGATTTAAAATAAGATATTATGATAGTTATTCTACAGATAATTGTTTTACGTTTACATTTATAATAAAGGTTGTAGTAAAACTCTACTCTGACGAAAATCGGAATAGCCGGCCATGCAGAAGATGAAATTTAAGTGCTAACGAGATTTCGTAAAAACATGTAGAAAAAGAGTAAAAAAAAAGTACAGTTAACTTCATAGTGATAAGGCCTTATGTGAATAGAAATTAAGATAAATCTTGACATCTGTTGTCTCTAATCTATTTATTCAAGAAAAAAAACTCATTGACTATAATTCTAAGATTATTCCGTTGCGGTTATGTTCTTAACGGAGCAAGGTGAAATAACTAGTTCTCAAAGCTTCACAGCGGAGACACGATTATTAAAACTGCCTTCGTCCAAGTGTTCCCCTATGGACTGGAAATGAAACTGTCTAAAATTGACAACCTACAAGATAGTGTGAAAACAGACTTGAGAGAACCCAGTTTGCTTGTAAGTAGTATGATCTGGTAACAGATTTTGTTTGGAGGCAAACTACGCTGTAGAAGTGGTTTTCGTAGACACGTGTGTATGAATTTAATATTAGAAATCTCCTCGTGCTTATCCAAGGCTCAACAATCAACTAGATGGAGGATTCGGTGATTGTAATCCCGCTCATATCAGTTATTGCTCATTTATGTTAAGTGTCTCGTATAGAAGAAGACGCCTTATCGTTCGTGTTTCTTTTCAAATTATTTGCGTTCCATTTAAATTACGAAACGAGAACGTCAACGAAGTTAAGCACCTCAGCTACAAATATTGGGGAGTGACACTTTCGGACGGAATTTATTTGCTACAGCGATTCCTGACGAACTTCCTGCTACATCGACATAACATATCCTCTTTAACACATAGCTTTGTCAAGAACATTTTCAAAGAAAATTGCATGGCTGTGTTAGTAAATGTTGCGAGTGATAACTACACTTTATCATTCTATAAATGTACACTTGCCTATAACAAAGATAACGGTTTTGGAAATAAATGCTATAAAATTAATGAAAGTTAGACTTCTTGCTTCTACATTTCAAAACACAGAT